ATAGTGAGGAATATTATTAGTACTTTATAAATTCATTTGCATTTTTTGAGAAATCGGAAATAGCATAAATTACTACTTCTAAATTATTACTTCTGGTCAATGGAAATTACTCAAAATGTGACAGAAAGTTAGATCTTTTACTTATATGTGAAATTTCGTTCATCTATCTAAAACAGTACTAAAGTTTTTGAAAAACAAAAAGTATAATAAGTCCCACTTGCGATTATCAGAAATAGCTGAAAAGTTGATACAGAACTACAAATATGATATAATACTTGTATATGAAATTTCATCAGCCTAGCTGTACTCAAGTTATCATGTTGAAAGACACACACTTATACATACACTTATACACACACAAAAACTATGGACATGTAATGAACTTTTGATTTTTTGCAATATTACAATACATCCTCATACTGTGTAAAGTCAAAAAACACATTGTGACATCTGGAATGACCATAGATGACATGCCATTACCCACCATCAGTCAAGACTACTTCATCAAAGAATGCCTCAGACAAGACGCGGCTGGTTGTTGGAGGCAGGTCGTTGTTGTCTATCATCAGCTGTTGGAGCCCAGAGTTCTGTCAAGTGGGTTCAAGGGTTAATGCAGGGAGATGTCAGTTGCTTAACCTTTTAATCAATCAAACTGATGCATCAAGTGGAAGGCTTCCTGATTACCTCCCTGGACCCACCAACTAAAAGATTACCTCCCTGGACCCACCAACTAAAAGATTACCTCCCTGGACCCACCAACTGAAAGATTACCTCCCTGGACCCACCAACTAAAAGATTACCTCCCTGGACCCACCAACTGAAAGATTACCTCCCTGGACCCACCAACTAAAAGATTACCTCCCTGGACCCACCAACTGAAAGATTACCTCCCTGGACCCACCAACTGAAAGATTACCTCCCTGGACCCACCAACTAAAAGATTACCTCCCTTGACCCACCAACTAAAAGATTACCTCCCTGGACCTACCAAAAAAATCTCCTCAGTTGTCTTGCCATCACCGCTGTCCTTGCCCTGGTCACGACTGGCCAATTGATGGAACATCTGTGGGAGTCACATGACATATGTAGGGGCAAGTCACATGACAGATGTAGGGGCAAGTCACATGACAGATGTAGGGGCAAGTCACATGACAGATGTAGGGGCAAGTCACATGACAGATGTAGGGGCAAGTCACATGACAGATGTAGGGGCAAGTCACATGACAGATGTAGGGGCAAGTCACATGACAGATGTAGGGGCAAGTCACATGACAGATGTAGGGGCAAGTCACATGACAGATGTAGGAGCAAGTCACATGACAGATGTAGGGTAAAGTCACATGACAGATGTAGGGGCAAGTCACATGACAGATGTAGGGGCAAGTCACATGACAGATGTAGGGGCAAGTCACATGACAGATGTAGGAGCAAGTCACATGACAGATGTAGGGTAAAGTCACATGACATATGTAGGGGCAAGTCACATGACAGATGTAGGGTTAAGTCACATGACAGATGTAGGGGCAAGTCACATGACAGATGTAGGGTAAAGTCACATGACAGATGTAGGGGCAAGTCACATGACAGATGTAGGGGCAAGTCACATGACAAATGTAGGAGCAAGTCACATGACAGATGTAGGGTAAAGTCACATGACATGTAGGAGCAAGTCACATGACATATGTAGGAGCAAGTCACATGACAGATGTAGGGTAAAGTCACATGACATGTAGGAGCAAGTCACATGACATATGTAGGAGCAAGTCACATGACAGATGTAGGGGCAAGTCACATGACAGATGTAGGGGCAAGTCACATGACTGATGTTTCTGTAGGGTTAGAGAAAAAATCATTTAATCCAGCAGACACAAAAATTGTATCAAGAAGACAATCAAGATAGCTGGAAATATTCATACACAAATGAGAGCTTTCATTGGCACAAATAACATTAGACACACAAACCATTTGAGGAAATATTCATACACAAATGAGAGCTTTCATTGGCACAAATAACATTAGACACACAAACCATTTGAGGAAATATTCATACACAAATGAGAGCTTTCATTGGCACAAATAACATTAGACACACAAACCATTTGAGGAACAGGGTTATTGGGTTGATTAGCTTACAGAATATGCATATGAATTACAGAACATACAACCATATGGTTTACAGAACATACAACCATATGGTTGTAGGAATTTTAGGATACGGAAAGAAATCATATGAAGAATAAACCAACACATAAAAGCTGCAAGCACACACTGCTTTAAACAGACAAGACATGGAAGAACACCAGGCAAGAAACACAAACACCACACACAAACACCACACACATTAGTATTAGTTCTTGGGTCAATAGATTTTGATGTGATTGATCTAGGGTCAAATAGATTTTGATGTATTTGATCTTGGGTGAATAGATTGTGATGTATTAGATTTTGGGTGAATAGATTTTGATGTATTAGATATTGGGTCAAAAACTATGGAAGAAAATTACCCAAGGTCGAGTTAAAGTCTGTTTATCATTGAGTAAAAAAACAGCTTTGTCCACGGCTACAAGTCCCACTCGCATGGACCTCTGGCCAGAGATTGTAAACTTGAAGTTGTCTTTTGGTCTGCTCACCAGCTGGGCTTGTGAGGGGGGGACACTGAGGCTCACCTGCAAGATAAAACACATGTTGTTGTTAGGGGTTGATGCATGTATCTGGAAAATGTATAGAAATTGCTACATTAAAAGTGGTTTAAAAGTGAGTTTGAGGCCAAAGCACAGCCATTGTGAAGTAAATAAAAACAAGTGTAACCTACCTCCTGCAGACAGTAGTCTGGTGTATCTACAAACAGGGAGTCTATGACCAGCTCCTCTCTGAACAAATACAAGGCAACAATCCGCATGTTGGGGGATACTTCTGGATACAGGACTTTGGGCAGATGGACGCTGGATTTTCCATCCGTGTTTCTCACAACTGTTGTTGTGTAGATGATCTGACCTTTGGCCAATACCTGAACATAGACAGTTATCCAGCCCAAATCATTACATAGACAGTTATCCAGCCCAATTCATTACATAGACAGTTATCCAGCCCATATCTTACATAGACAGTTATCCGGCCCATATCTTACATAGACAGTTATCCAGCCCATATCTTACATAGACAGTTATCCAGCCCATATCTTACATAGACAGTTATCCAGTCTATATCTTACATAGACAGTTATCCAGCCCATATCTTACATAGACAGTTATCCAGTCCATATCTTACATAGACAGTTATCCAGTCCATATCTTACATAGACAGTTATCCAGCCCAATTCATTACATAGAGTTATCCAGCCCATATCTTACATAGACAGTTATCCAGTCCAGGTTGGCCCACTGGTTGGTCTCAGCTTTTGTGTACTGCAGGAGGATGACACCATCTTTGTTTTTCTGAGGAACAAAAAGTTAGACACCATTCAGTCTGACACCATTCAAACATTTGGCTTCAACATTGGCTCCAACAAACCTGAACATTGGCTCCAACAAACCTGAACATTGGCTCCAACAAACCTGAACAGTGACTTCAACAAACCTGAACATTGGCTCCAACAAACCTGAACAGTGGCTCCAACAAACCTGAACATTGGCTCCAACAAACCTGAACAGTGACTTCAACAAACCTGAACATTGGCTCCAACAAACCTGAACATTGGCTCCAACATTGACTTCAACAAACCTGAACAGTGACTTCAACATTGACTTCAACAAACCTGAACATTGACTTCAACAAACCTGAACATTGGCTTCAACATTGGCTCCAACAAACCTGAACATTGACTTCAACAAACCTGAACATTGACTTCAACAAACCTGAACATTGGCTTCAACATTGGCTCCAACAAACCTGAACATTGACTTCAACAAACCTGAACATTGGCTTCAACATTGGCTCCAAAAACCTGAACATTGACTTCAACATTGGCTTCAACAAACCTGAACATTGACTTCAACATTGGCTCCAACAAACCTGAACATTGGCTTCAACAAACCTGAACATTGGCTCCAACAGACCTGAACATTGACTTCAACAAACCTGAACATTGACTTCAACATTGGCTTCAACAAACCTGAACATTGACTTCAACAAACCTGAACATTGACTTCAACAAACCTGAACATTGGCTCCAACAGACCTGAACATTGACTTCAACAAACCTGAACATTGACTCCAACAAACATGAACATTGGCTCCAACATTGGCTCCAACAAACCTGAACATTGGCTTCAACAAACCTGAACATTGGCTCCAACAGACCTGAACATTGACTTCAACAAACCTGAACATTGACTTCAACATTGGCTTCAACAAACCTGAACATTGACTTCAACAAACCTGAACATTGACTTCAACAAACCTGAACATTGGCTCCAACAGACCTGAACATTGACTTCAACAAACCTGAACATTGACTTCAACATTGGCTCCAACAAACCTGAACAGTGACTTCAACATTGACTTCAACAAACCTGAACATTGGCTCCAACAAACCTGAACAGTGACTTCAACAAACCTGAACAGTGACTTCAACAAACCTGAACATTGGCTTCAACATTGGCTCCAACAAACCTGAACAGTGACTTCAACAAACCTGAACATTGACTCCAACAAACCTGAACAGTGACTTCAACAAACCTGAACATTGGCTTCAACATTGGCTCCAACAAACCTGAACATTGACTCCAACAGACCTGAACATTGGCTTCAACAAACCTGAACAGTGACTTCAACAAACCTGAACATTGACTCCAACAAACCTGAACAGTGACTTCAACAAACCTGAACATTGGCTTCAACATTGGCTCCAACAAACCTGAACATTGACTCCAACAGACCTGAACATTGACTTCAACAAACCTGAACATTGACTTCAACATTGGCTCCAACAAACCTGAACAGTGACTTCAACATTGACTTCAACAAACCTGAACATTGACTCCAACAAACATGAACATTGGCTCCAACATTGGCTCCAACAAACCTGAACAGTGACTTCAACATTGGCTCCAACAAACCTGAACAGTGACTTCAACAAACCTGAACATTGACTCCAACAAACATGAACATTGGCTCCAACATTGGCTCCAACAGACCTGAACATTGACTTCAACAAACCTGAACATTGACTTCAACATTGGCTCCAACAAACCTGAACAGTGACTTCAACATTGACTTCAACAAACCTGAACATTGGCTCCAACAAACCTGAACAGTGACTTCAACAAACCTGAACATTGACTTCAACAAACCTGAACATTGGCTTCAACATTGGCTCCAACAAACCTGAACATTGACTTCAACAAACCTGAACATTGACTTCAACAAACCTGAACATTGGCTCCAACAAACCTGAACATTGACTTCAACAAACCTGAACATTGACTTCAACAAACCTGAACATTGACTTCAACAAACCTGAACATTGACTTCAACAAACCTGAACATTGGCTCCAACAAACCTGAACATTGACTTCAACAAACCTGAACATTGACTTCAACAAACCTGAACATTGGCTTCAACATTGGCTCCAACAAACCTGAACAGTGACTTCAACAAACCTGAACATTGACTTCAACAAACCTGAACATTGGCTCCAACAAACCTGAACAGTGACTTCAACAAACCTGAACATTGACTTCAACAAACCTGAACATTGGCTTCAACAAACCTGAACATTGGCTTCAAGCTGCACATGGATGTAACGTCTGTTGACAGAATTGAACCTGTTGACCTCAAACTTGAACTCCTTGAAACCCACCTTGTACATGTCCAGCACAATGGCCTGAATGGTTGGAAACATTTTTATTTGGCACACCATGGTATAAGTCACCCCACATCATGCTACAAGTCACCTCACACCATGGTATAAGTCACCCCACATCATGGTACAAGTCACCCCACACACCATGGTATAAGTCACCCCACATCATGGTACAAGTCACCCCACACACCATGGTATAAGTCACCCCACATCATGGTACAAGTCACCCCACACACCATGGTATAAGTCACCCCACATCATGGTACAAGTCACCCCACACACCATGGTATAAGTCACCCCACATCATGGTACAAGTCACCCCACACACCATGGTATAAGTCACCCCACATCATGGTACAAGTCACCCCACACACCATGGTATAAGTCACCCCACATCATGGTACAAGTCACCCCACACACCATGGTATAAGTCACCCCACATCATGGTACAAGTCACCCCACACACCATGGTATAAGTCACCCCACATCATGGTACAAGTCACCCCACACACCACCCCACATCATGGTACAAGTCACCCCACACACCACCCCACATCATGGTACAAGTCACCCCACACACCACCCCACATCATGATACAAGTCACCCCACACCTCAGACACCCTGATACAAGCCACCCCACACCATTATACAAGTTACCACACACCTCAACCCACACCAAGATACAAGTCAGCCCACACATCAGCAGACAAATCATGAGACAGCTTGTAGCCTACTCACATCAAACTGGATCCGTTCAGCTGTGTCTGGTGTGTTGAATGATATACTTAGAGCACCAACCTCATCTAGAAAATGGGTATCACCCAACCCTTGAACAAAAAAAATCATTGGTGAGAAACCCAAATAAAAGAGGTCAACACAGAGTTCAAGAGGTCAATAATTTCTTTTGCAACTGTAAAAAATATTTTTTTAACTTTTTGAGAAAATGTTTTCTTGTAGAGCAGAATGGGGGAGATGGTTTTTTTTTTTAAATATCTCACATCCAGGCATATGGTAGCAAATTGTGGTCAGCATTATGCTAAGCCATTTGGACTTTCCCTAACTTGTGCCAGGTACCCATCAGAGCTGAGTGTACTCGAAGATGCCCTTGAGCCAGCAAGTAGAGTTGACCTGACCTCATGAAAGTCTTAAATTTATCAACAAACTAATTAATTATGCTCAAATTTATCAATACAACTAATTAATTATACTCAAATTGTATTTAATTAGGTGACCTAGTGACCTACTTTGGATGACATTATTCTCAGCATCAAGGTACTTGACCTTGACATACAGCATGACCTTGGAGGCGGGAGGACCACTCTGGGCATTGACCTGGACCTGATGGTTAGGTTGTCAAGTTTTGTAAGATCTTGGTTGTCAAGTTTTGTAAGATCTTGGTTGTCAAGTTTTGTAAGATCTTGGTTGTCAAGTTTTGTAAGATCTTGGTTGTCAAGTTTTGTAAGATCTTAGGTTGTCAAGTTTTGTAAGATCTTAGGTTGTCAAGTTTTGTAAGATCTTAGGTTGTCAAGTTTTGTAAGATCTTAGGTTGTCAAGTTTTGTAAGATCTTAGGTTGTCAAGTTTTGTAAGATCTTAGGTTGTCAAGTTTTGTAAGATCTTAGGTTGTCAAGTTTTGTAAGATCTTAGGTTGTCAAGTTTTTTAAGATCTTAGGTTGTCAAGTTTTGTAAGATCTTAGGTTGTCAAGTTTTGTAAGATCTTAGGTTGTCAAGTTTTGTAAGATCTTAGGTTGTCAAGTTTTGTAAGATCTTAGGTTGTCAAGTTTTGTAAGATCTTAGGTTGTCAAGTTTTGTAAGATCTTAGGTTGTCAAGTTTTGTAAGATCTTAGGTTGTCAAGTCTTGTAAGATCTTAGGTTGTCAAGTTTTGTAAGATCTTAGGTTGTCAAGTCTTGTAAGATCTTAGGTTGTCAAGTTTTGTAAGATCTTAGGTTGTCAAGTTTTGTAAGATCTTAGGTTGTCAAGTTTTGTAAGATCTTAGGTTGTCAAGTCTTGTAAGATCTTAGGTTGTCAAGTCTTGTAAGATCTTAGGTTGTCAAGTTTTGTAAGATCTTAGGTTGTCAAGTTTTGTAAGATCTTAGGTTGTCAAGTTTTGTAAGATCTTAGGTTGTCAAGTTTTGTAAGATCTTAGGTTGTCAAGTTTTGTAAGATCTTAGGTTGTCAAGTTTTGTAAGATCTTAGGTTGTCAAGTTTTGTAAGATCTTAGGTTGTCAAGTCTTGTAAGATCTTAGGTTGTCAAGTTTTGTAAGATCTTAGGTTGTCAAGTCTTGTAAGATCTTAGGTTGTCAAGTTTTGTAAGATCTTAGGTTGTCAAGTTTTGTAAGATCTTAGGTTGTCAAGTTTTGTAAGATCTTAGGTTGTCAAGTTTTGTACGATCTTAGGTTGTCAAGTTTTGTACGATCTTAGGTTGTCAAGTTTTGTAAGATCTACAAATAAAATTTAGTCAATAGATACTCAAACATTGTTCATAGAGTTGAATACATTTGACTGTGAGCTTACATTATGTGACATGGCTTACCATATGTGACATGGCTTATATTATGTGATGGTGACATGCTACAGCTATACATATCTTTCAAGCTGACCTGGAATGTGTATGGGAAACCTGGCTTGAAAAACTTTTTGGACTGTGTGAAGCTGACAATGTAGTACGGGTGAGCAATGAAGGTGGAGGTGTCAACTATTGTGAAGTTCTCGAGTGTGGCACTCTCTGTCACGTTCACATTGACGTAAAGTTTCTCTGTCCCGTCGTACGTGATGAAAGATGGCAGCACACTGCCCAGCCGAACATATTTTGTGTAGTAGCCATCTTTTAGCTAGAAAACATTTGTAATTCAGTTCCCACCAAACTTGGTTGAAGTGACTGCACATATTATGAAAACATTGAGGGGAGTGGGGTGTCTAGGTGTGTAGACTGACCTGTCTGTCTAGGTGTGTAGACTGACCTGTCTGTCTAGGTGTGTAGACTGACCTGTCTGTCTAGGTGTGTAGACTGACCTGTCTGTCTAGGTGTGTAGACTGACCTGTCTGTCTAGGTGTGTAGACTGACCTGTCTGTCTAGGTGTGTAGACTGACCTGTCTGTCTAGGTGTGTAGACTGACCTGTCTGTCTAGGTGTGTAGACTGACCTGTCTGTCTAAGTGTGTAGACTGACCTGTCAGGGGGGGGTGGAGTCGGTCTTGTGTGGGATAGAGGGGGAAGTGTTTTTTTTTTTGAAAATTTCCAGTATTCATTTCCTGTTAAAAACATTTTTCTTGGCTAAAACACTAGTTCCATCTGGCATTGAAATATGTTCCAAACAAATTTGGTGGTAATTTATTGATCTTTAGAAGAAAAAAAAAAGGGGGGGGGGGGGGGTGGTGATGATGTCTGACTCATGGATTTGTTGTAGTCCTATTTGTGGTTTACAAATAGCCGCCATTTTGAGTTAAATAATACATACAAACTTAATCACTGAAATAAATTGCTGCCAGTTCATTCTTTTCTCAAAAACAGAGTTCTTTCAGATGAAACTGACCTGATGTTTCTGAAGGAGCATAAATTGAAGCAAGTGAAACTAGAGGAGGTTTTCCTACCATGTTGAAATAAGATGCTCCAGGCAGAAGTCTGGTGCCTAGGCTAGGCGTCCAGATGCCAAGCTGTATACTAGCAGCTCCAAACACAGGCTTCCCATGGACATACCTGAGTGGGTTCACATATTTAGTCCAACATACAATTTAACAGGGTAGGTTCACATATTTAGTCCAACATACAATCTAACATGGTAGGTTCACATATTTAGTCCAACATACAATCTAACATGGTAGGTTCACATATTTAGTCCAACATACAATCTAACAGGGTGGGTTCACATATTTAGTCCAACATACAATCTAAGGGTAGGTTCACATATTTAGTCCAACATACAATCTAAGGGTAGGTTCACATATTTAGTCCAACATACAATTTAACAGGGTAGGTTCACATATTTAGTCCAACATACAATCTAACAGGGTGGGTTCACATATTTAGTCCAACATACAATCTAAGGGTAGGTTCTCATATTTAGTACAACATACAATTTAACAGGGTGGGTTCACATATTTAGTCCAACATACAATCTAAGGGTAGGTTCACATATTTAGTCCAACATACAATCTAAGGGTAGGTTCACATATTTAGTCCAACATACAATTTAACAGGGTAGGTTCACATATTTAGTCCAACATACAATCTAAGGGTAGGTTCACATATTTAGTCCAACATACAATCTAACAGGGTAGGTTCACATATTTAGTCCAACATACAATCTAACAGGGAGGGTTCACATATTTAGTCCAACATACAATCTAACATGGTAGGTTCACATATTTAGTCCAACATACAATCTAACAGGGTGGGTTCACATATTTAGTCCAACATACAATTTAACAGGGTGGGTTCACATATTTAGTACAACATACAATCAAAACAATATTAGTCTTTTCAAGACAACTGACACCTCAAGAAACCAGAATGATAGGCTATAGTTTTATATTTCTACAAGCCAAGCAGTTTGGGTCAGGGTTTTGGGTAACGGTAAGGATTTGCGTAAGGGTTTGGGTAAGGGTCAGGGTTTGTGTCAGGGTCAGGGTTTGGGTAAGGGTCAGGGTTTGTGTAAGGGTCAGGGTTTGTGTAAGGGTCAGGGTTTGTGTAAGGGTCAGGGTTTGTGTCAGGGTCAGGGTAAGGGTCAGGGTTTGGTGAAGGGTCAGGGTTTGGTGAAGGGTCAGGGTTTGTGTCAGGGTTTGTGTCAGGGATGATCTCACCTGGCTGTAACATTGAGTCCGAGCCAATTCAAATCTCTTGTGATGACGCTGTTGTCAATGTGGAGTTGGGCTGAAAATCTGGGGAGGACTGGAGCAAATATTGCAGCAGCTAATTACTAATTAGAGTTGGGGAGGACTGGAGCAAATATTGCAGCAGCTAATTACTAATTAGAGTTGGGGAGGACTGGAGCAAATATTGCAGCAGCTAATTACTAATTAGAGTTGGGGAGGACTGGAGCAAATATTGCAGCAGCTAATTACTAATTAGAGTTGGGGAGGACTGGAGCAAGTATTGCAGCAGCTAATTACTAATTAGAGTTGGGGAGGACTGGAGCAAATATTGCAGCAGCTAATTACTAATTAGAGTTGGGGAGGACTGGAGCAAATATTGCACAGCTAATTACTAATTAGAGTTGGGGAGGACTGGAGCAAATATTGCACAGCTAATTACTAATTAGAGTTGGGGAGGACTGGAGCAAATATTGCACAGCTAATTACTAATTAGAGTTGGGGAGGACTGGAGCAAATATTGCACAGCTAATTACTAATTAGAGTTGGGGAGGACTGGAGCAAATATTGCACAGCTAATTACTAATTAGAGTTGGGGAGGACTGGAGCAAATATTGCAGCAGCTAATTACTAATTAGAGTTGGGGAGGACTGGAGCAAGTATTGCAGCAGCTAATTACTAATTAGAGTTGGGGAGGACTGGAGCAAATATTGCAGCAGCTAATTACTAATTAGAGTTGGGGAGGACTGGAGCAAATATTGCAGCAGCTAATTACTAATTAGAGTTGGGGAGGACTGGAGCAAATATTGCAGCAGCTAATTACTAATTAGAGTTGGGGAGGACTGGAGCAAGTATTGCAGCAGCTAATTACTAATTAGAGTTGGGGAGGACTGGAGCAAATATTGCAGCAGCTAATTACTAATTAGAGTTGGGGAGGACTGGAGCAAATATTGCAGCAGCTAATTACTAATTAGAGTTGGGGAGGACTGGAGCAAGTATTGCACAGCTAATTACTAATTAGAGTTGGGGAGGACTGGAGCAAATATTGCACAGCTAATTACTAATTAGAGTTGGGGAGGACTGGAGCAAATATTGCACAGCTAATTACTAATTAGAGTTGGGGAGGACTGGAGCAAATATTGCAGCAGCTAATTACTAATTAGAGTTGGGGAGGACTGGAGCAAATATTGCAGCAGCTAATTACTAATTAGAGTTGGGGAGGACTGGAGCAAATATTGCAGCAGCTAATTACTAATTAGAGTTGGGGAGGACTGGAGCAAATATTGCAGCAGCTAATTACTAATTAGAGTTGGGGAGGACTGGAGCAAATATTGCAGCAGCTAATTACTAATTAGAGTTGGGGAGGACTGGAGCAAATATTGCAGCAGCTAATTACTAATTAGAGTTGGGGAGGACTGGAGCAAATATTGCAGCAGCTAATTACTAATTAGAGTTGGGGAGGACTGGAGCAAATATTGCAGCAGCTAATTACTAATTAGAGTTGGGGAGGACTGGAGCAAATATTGCAGCAGCTAATTACTAATTAGAGTTGGGGAGGACTGGAGCAAATATTGCAGCAGCTAATTACTAATTAGAGTTGGGGAGGACTGGAGCAAATATTGCACAGCTAATTACTAATTAGAGTTGGGGAGGACTGGAGCAAATATTGCACAGCTAATTACTAATTAGAGTTGGGGAGGACTGGAGCAAATATTGCAGCAGCTAATTACTAATTAGAGTTGGGGAGGACTGGAGCAAATATTGCAGCAGCTAATTACTAATTAGAGTTGGGGAGGACTGGAGCAAATATTGCAGCAGCTAATTACTAATTAGAGTTGGGGAGGACTGGAGCAAGTATTGCAGCAGCTAATTACTAATTAGAGTTGGGGAGGACTGGAGCAAATATTGCAGCAGCTAATTACTAATTAGAGTTGGGGAGGACTGGAGCAAATATTGCAGCAGCTAATTACTAATTAGAGTTGGGGGAGGACTGGAGAAAATATTGCAGCAGCTAATTACTAATTAGCCTTCAAGAGATTGTATAATAGTGTGGGCCTTCAAGAGATTGTATAATAGTGTGGGCCTTCAAGAGATTGTATAATAGTGTGGGCCTTCAAGAGATTGTATAATAGTGTGGGCCTTCAAGAGATTGTATAATAGTGTGGGCCTTCAAGAGATTGTATAATAGTGTGGGCCTTCAAGAGATTGTATAATAATGTGGGCCTTCAAGAGATTGTAATAGTGTGGGCCTACAAGACAGTGGCATAGCGAGGGCGGATGTCACCCAGTGTCACCCCCACCCCTGTAATATTTAAATAATTTGGCACACAGACACCAGATGGTTTAAACAAACAGGTATCTTTTACCTAAGCCCTCCGTCCCCATACACCATGTCACCAACTCCCACTCTTATACAAATATACTGTGTCCAAGCGTCCAAGACAATTAACTACAAATAGAAGTCTCTAGCTAAAACCACACCAGCTATAAAAAATGAACTTACCATACTCTCTAACTTCAAAGTTCACTGTCTGAGTAGTACTTGCAATATTGTCCTTGACATAAGAAAAATAAATGCCTTAAGCCTATAAATTATAATAATGGACTAGATCTAAATATTTAAATAATAAATAAATAAAATACTTAAAAAAACTTTTTAAAAAAACACGTTTTTCTTGTGGACTAAAAAGTAGAAAATAAATTTTTCTTTTGTGCTTCCTCGAGCTGTGCAGGTTCTTGTGATGACTGACAAAAAACGTGGGTACGTTCACCATCAAATTTCCCGACCCATCTGCCCGACCCACGTTTTTTGTCAGTCATCACAAGAACCTGCACAGCTCGAGGAAGCACAAAAGAAAAATTTATTTTCTACTTTTTAGTCCACAAGAAAAACGTGTTTTTTTAAGTATTTTATTTTCTCCTTTTTAGTCCGTTGCTACACATGAAAAACGTGGTTTTTAAAAAGTTTTTTATATAGTTTATTTTCTACTTTATCTAATGACTTGATTAAGTATGACTTGACTAAGTGTTTATAAATACACAGACTAAAAATCTTGAGCGACCGATACGCTTTAAACAGACAAAGGGCGTAATTTAATTAAGCCTACATGCCGTGACCAGGATTCGAACCTGGGTTGTCGCGGCCACAACGCGAAGTACTAACCACTATACGATCACGGCCAGTGCGCTCACATCGATTGGGGCCGAAGTAACTGTGTCAATAGGCCTCCAGTCTTGTCGGTATCTTTAGAAATCATGTCCTCAATTTTATGGTCCTTGGGGCGTAATTAAATTAAGCTAATTACGGTCTCTAATTGCTAGTTTTTATGATTGCATCTGAAATTGTTAGGCGAAAGTAGCCTGCATGCCAAATTTCAGATCTCTAGAGCAATCAGAAGTGGGCTAATTTTCGATGTCAATTTTAACAACAAACAAACGCGAAGCTGAGTTAATAAAAACGTGTTAAAATGCATTTTGATATGGAAGAAAGCTTGCTTTAAAAATTAAAAAAAAAATATTTCTATATCTAGAAATAAATCTAGTAGTTTACACTAGACTAGACTTGACATATATCTAGGTTATAAAGTCACATTCTCATTCAATGAGTTTTCTAATAATAATTTTATTTATTAGGCCTAGATCTAGATTTATTACTATATAGATTCTACTTAATAGTCAACTATTTATACTTTTTATAGTGACACTCTCACTATAGCACTATAGACTATTACACTATAGATAGTGCGACTAATTAGTATAGTCACGTGACTCCAGTGATAACCTGTTCTAAGATTCTATATAGATCTAGAATATTTTTTTAATGCTTTACCTAGCTAGAGGTTAAAAGCCCTAAACCTAACTCTATAGATAGAAATCTATTAGATTCTATATGATAAAGCCTAAATCAAACAAAACAAACCCTACCGGTCCTTCGAAGCTAGCAGAAATAGACCACTGGCCAGATTTGGTCTCCTTTGGCAACTCAAACTCTTGGCCTTTAAAAGCCTCTTCTGCTGAATATCTGATTCTGTCTACAGTTATGTGGTTGACATCCTAAAGGTATAGAACTTTTGTTCGTAAATATTGACAAAGTTTGTCTGTAAATATTGATAAAGTTTGTCTGTAAATATTGACAAAGTTTGTCTGTAAATATTGACAAAGTTTGTCTGTAAATATTGACAAAGTTTGTCTGATCAAATTAATATATTTTTTTTTTAAAAGTTAACACTGGCAAGCTTATTTCAAACTTTGAACAATTTTGGCGATTTTATTTTTAAACACAACTTTTGTTTGTAAACGCTGACAAATTTTTGCAAAAATAATTGTGACGGATAATGCTTTTAAACACTGACTACATATTTCTCGGTGTTAAGATAACTTAAAATCAATTAATTAAAATATGTCCTGCTGTGTAACCCCCCCCCCCCCCCCCACCAAAAAAAGTATTTATAAAATACCAAAATGACCCTTTGAGATCTCACCTTGATGTCAACTTTGACAGGATATTTGGCAAGTCTTTGACTGTCATCAACAGCAATGATTCTAAATTTGACTTTGTGGAAGAAAAATAAAACTATATAGATCTAGATCTAGAGTCTAATAAGGAAAGATCTCATACAACTGCTGAACGAAGATTTACCTCCCTGTGACTACATTGTAAAAAAAAACCGAAACAAATACAACAATAATATTGACAAGTAAACGTAGAACTTACAAAGCAACACAAACAAAATTATAACATTTAGAACTACGTATTTGCTTGCACAGCTTAGTGGCTTGTCTGTCTAGGTGTGTAGACTGACCTGTCTAGGTGTGTAGACTGACCTGTCTGTCTAGGTGTGTAGACTGACCTGTCTGTCTAGGTGTGTAGACTGACCTGTCTGTCTAGGTGTGTAGACTGACCTATCTATCTAGGTGTGTAGACTGACCTGTCTGTCTAGGTGTGTATACTGACCTGTCTGTCTAGGTGTGTAGACTGACCTGTCTGTGTAGGTGTGTAGACTGACCTGTCTGTCTAGGTGTGTAGACTGACCTGTCTAGGTGTGTAGACTGACCTGTCTAGGTGTGTAGACTGACCTGTCTAGGTGTGTAGACTGACCAGTCTGTCTAGGTGTGTAGACTGACCTGTCTGTCTAGGTGTGTAGACTGACCTGTCTGTCTAGGTGTGTAGACTGACCTGTCTGTCTAGGTGTGTAGACTGACCTGTCTGTCTAGGTGTGTAGACTGACCTGTCTGTCTAGGTGTGTAGACTGACCTGTCTGTAAGGTGTGTAGACTGACCTGTCTGTCTAGGTGTGTAGACTGACCTGTCTGTCTAGGTGTGTAGACTGACCTGTCTAGGTGTGTAGACTGACCTATCTGTCTAGGTGTGTAGACTGACCTGTCTGTCGAGGTGTGTAGACTGACCTGTCTGTCTAGGTGTGTAGACTGACCTGTCTGTCTAAGTGTGTAGACTGACCTGTCTAGGTGTGTAGACTGACCTGTCTGTCTAAGTGTGTAGACTGACCTGTCTATGTGTGTAGACTGACCAGTCTGTCTAGGTGTGTAGAATGACCTGTCTAGGTGTGTAGACTGACCTGTCTGTCTAGGTGTGTAGACTGACCTGTCTGTCGAGGTGTGTAGACTGACCTGTCTAGGTGTGTAGACTGACCAGTCTAGGTGTGTAGACTGACCAGTCTGTCTAGGTGTGTAGACTGACCTGTCTGTCTAGGTGTGTAGACTGACCTGTCTGTCTAGGTGTGTAGACTGACCTGTCTAGGTGTGTAGACTGACCTGTCTAGGTGTGTAGACTGACCTGTCTGTCTGTGTAGACTGACCTGTCTGTCTAGGTGTGTAGACTGACCTGTCTGTCTAGGTGTGTAGACTGACCTGTCTAGGTGTGTAGACTGATCCGTCTGACTAGGTGTGTAGACTGACCTGTCTAGGTGTGTAGACTGACCTGTCTGTCTAGGTGTGTAGATTGGCTTGTCTGTCTGAATGAAGATGTGGCCGTGTGACTGACGGAAGTTGACCAGACAAGACTTGCCCTGCTCCTTGCTGGACAAACTGATCTTGAGCCCGGTCTCACCCAGTTCCTGCATGTGTTGCCATGGAAACACAACTGTCCAGTTCTGGCTGCCATCTGCCAATATGTACAGCAGCATTACCAGAAAAACCTCTTCGTTACAACCTGGTGAACCTATCAACTTAACTAGAGTAGGTTGTCAGCAACCTGTAACTTGCAGGTTGCCCTGTCAAGATTCAAATTGCAGGGAAATCAGTCAGGGATTTGTTACAATCAGTCAGGGATTTGTTACAATCAATCAGGGATTTGTTACAATCAATCAGGGATTTGTTACAATCAATCAGGGATTTGTTACAATCAATCAGGGATTTGTTACAATCAATCAGGGATTTGTTACAATCAATCAGGGATTTGTTACAATCAATCAGGGATTTGTTACACTACTAACCTGCATCAAAATAAAATATCGTTGAGTTGAGAAGTCGACTGGAATCTTTTCTGCCTCTATACGTCAACTCTACTGTCTCCCTCTCCCCAGGGGTGTGGTCAAATGCTGTGACGACAGCCGTGTAGTCCATGTCATAGCTGGCTTCTTTTGGTACCGTCAGTAGAAACTTAGTGCTGGAAGTGGTAGGTTGTGTTGTGTCAGGGTTGTGTGAGGGTTGTGTGAGGGTTGTGTCAGGGTTGTGTGAGGGTTGTGTCAGGGTTGTGTCAGGGTTGTGTCGTGTGAGGGTTGTGTCAGGGTTGTGTCGTGTGAGGGTTGTGTCGTGTGAGGGTTGTGTGAGGGTTGTGTGAGGGTTGTGTCAGGGTTGTGTCGTGTGAGGGTTGTGTCGTGTGAGGGTTGTGTCAGGGTTGTGTCGTGTGAGGGTTGTGTCAGGGTTGTGTCAGGGTTGTGTGAGGGTTGTGTCAGGGTTGTGTCGTGTGAGGGTTGTGTCAGGGTTGTGTGAGGGTTGTGTCGTGTGAGGGTTGTGTCAGGGTTGTGTCAGGGTTGTGTCGTGTGAGGGTTGTGTCTTGTGAGGGCTGTGTGTCGTGTGTGGCTGTGTCGTGTGTGGTTGTGTCGTGTGAGGGTTGTGTTGTGTGTGGTTGTGTCGTGTGTGGTTGTGTCGTGTGAGGGTTGTGTGTGGTTTGAGGGTTGTGTCGTGTGACTGTTGTGTGTGGTGTGAGGTTTGTGTTGTGTGAGGGTTGTGTGGTTTGAGGGTTGTGTGGTTTGAGGGTTGTGTCGTGTGAAGGTTGTATTTTGTGTGTGGTTGTGTCGTGTGAGGGTTGTGTCGTGTGTGGCTGTGTCGTGTGTGGTTGTGTCGTGTGAAGGTTGTGTCGTGTGAGGGTTGTGTCGTGTGAGGGTTGTGTCGTGTGAAGGTTGTGTCGTGTGAGGGTTGTGTCGTGTGAGGGTTGTGTCGTGTGAGGGTTGTGTCGTGTGAGGGTTGTGTCGTGTGAGGGTTGTGTGGTGTGAGGGTTGTGTCGTGTGAGGGTTGTGTGAGGGTTGTGTGAGGGTTGTGTCGTGTGAGGGTTGTGTGAGGGTTGTGTCGTGTGAGGGTTGTGTCGTGTGAGGGTTGTGTGAGGGTTGTGTGAGGGTTGTGTCGTGTGAGGGTTGTGTCGTGTGAGGGTTGTGTCGTGTGAGGGTTGTGTCGTGTGAGGGTTGTGTCGTTTGAAGGTTGTGTCGTGTGAGGGTTGTGTCGTGTGAGGGTTGTGTCGTGTGAAGGTTGTGTCGTGTGAGGGTTGTGTCGTGTGAGGGTTGTGTCGTGTGAGGGTTGTGTCGTGTGAGGGTTGTGTCGTGTGAGGGTTGTGTGGTGTGAGGGTTGTGTCGTGTGAGGGTTGTGTGAGGGTTGTGTGAGGGTTGTGTCGTGTGAGGGTTGTGTGAGGGTTGTGTCGTGTGAGGGTTGTGTCGTGTGAGGGTTGTGTGAGGGTTGTGTGAGGGTTGTGTGAGGGTTGTGTGAGGGTTGTGTGAGGGTTGTGTCGTGTGATGGTTGTGTCGTGTGAGGGTTGTGTCGTGTGAGGGTTGTGTGAGGGTTGTGTGAGGGTTGTGTCGTGTGAGGGTTGTGTGAGGGTTGTGTCGTGTGAGGGTTGTGTCGTGTGAGGGTTGTGTCGTGTGAGGGTTGTGTCGTGTGATGGTTGTGTCGTGTGAGGGTTGTGTGAGGGTTGTGTGAGGGTTGTGTGAGGGTTGTGTGATGGTTGTGTCGTGTGAGGGTTGTGTCGTGTGAGGGTTGTGTGAGGGTTTTTTCGTGTGAGGGTTGTGTGAGGGTTGTGTCGTGTGAGGGTTGTGTCGTGTGAGGGTTGTGTCGTGTGAGGGTTGTGTCGTGTGAGGGTTGTGTGAGGGTTGTGTGAGGGTTGTGTCGTGTGAGGGTTGTGTCGTGTGAGGGTTGTGTCGTGTGAGGGTTGTGTGAGGGTTGTGTGAGGGTTGTGTCGTGTGAGGGTTGTGTCGTGTGAGGGTTGTGTCGTGTGAAGGTTGTGTGGTGTGAGGGTTGTGTCGTGTGAGGGTTGTGTCGTGTGAGGGTTGTGTCGTGTGAGGGTTGTGTCGTGTGAGGGTTGTGTCGTGTGAGGGTTATGTGTGGTGTGAGGGTTGTATTTTGTGTGTGGTTGTGTCGTGTGAGGGTTGTATTTTGTGTGTGGTTGTGTCGTGTGAGGGCTGTGTGTCGTGTGTGGTTGTGTCGTGTGTCGTTGTGTCGTGTGAGGGTTGATTGGTGTGAGGGCTGTGTTTTGACATATGATACGTTAAATTGTATTTGATGTATTTTAGGTTAACTATTTAAAAAGATTCTACCACTAAATATTAAACTACATTCATTATAAATAAGTTTCTTAAAGTTTTTTTCAATCTTAATGAAAATTAAATTAGATATATTTAATTTTTTTTCCCTCTACACCAAATCACACCGCAAAATGTTACATTAGCTGTGCAAATGGAAACAACTCACTAATATCAGCGAATTCACAATAAAGTGGTTATATCCCTTTGAATAAAAAAGAGATGGTCGTCATTATGTGAGGGGGGGGGGGGGGGGGGGTGGTGTAAAGAGATTTAGCAATATAGTGACATCATTTATATATGACCCCAAGGTGGAATTAAAAGTTTGTTATTATAAGGTTTTTATTACTGGTTCTTTTTTTCTATTTCTTAATATTTAGCAAATTAGAAATAGTTATTCATTATTCAAGCCCATATTTATATATACCTTTATATTCAGGACCATATATTCTGACCTATATATTCAGGCTCATATATTTAGACCATATATTCAGGCTCATATAATTAGACCTATATATTCAGGCTCATATAATTAGACCTATATATTCAGGCCCATATAATTAGACCTATATATTCAGGCCCACACATTTAGACCTATATATTCAGGCTCATATATTTAGACCTATATATTCAGGCTCATATATTTAGACCTATATATTCAGGCCCATATAATTAGACCTATATATTCAGGCCCATACATTTAGACCTATATATTCAGGCTCATATATTTAGACCTATATATTCAGGCCCATATATTTAGACCTATATATTCAGGCCCATATATTTAGACCTATATATTCAGGCCCATATAATTAGACCTATATATTCAGGCCCATACATTTAGACCTATATATTCAGGCCCATATATTTAGACCTATATATTCAGGCTCATATATTTAGACCTATATATTCAGGCTCATAAAATTAGACCTATATATTCAGGCCCATATATTTAGACCTATATATTCAGGCCCATATAATTAGACCTATATATTCAGGCACATACATTTAGACCTATATATTCAGGCCCATATATTTAGACCTATATATTCAGGCTCATATATTTAGACCTATATATTCAGGCTCATAAAATTAGACCTATATATTCAGGCCCATATATTTAGACCTATATATTCAGGCTCATATAATTAGACCTATATATTCAGGCTCATATATTTAGACCTATATATTCAGGCCCATATATTTAGACCTATATATTCAGGCTCATAAAATTAGACCTATATATTCAGGCTCATATATTTAGACCTATATATTCAGGCCCATATATTTAGACCTATATATTCAGGCCCATATATTTAGACCTATATATTCAGGCCCATACATTTAGACCTATATATTCAGGCTCATATAATTAGACCTATATATTCAGGCCCATATAATTAGACCTATATATTCAGGCTCATACATTTAGACCTATATATTCAGGCCCATATATTTAGACCTATATATTCAGGCCCATATAATTAGACCTATATATTCAGGCTCATATATTTAGACCTATATATTCAGGCCCATACATTTAGACCTATATATTCAGGCTCCAATATTTAGACCTATATTTTCATTCCCATATATTTAGACCTATATATTCAGGCTCCTATATTTAGACCTATATATTCAGGCTCATATAATTAGACCTATATATTCAGGCCCATATATTTAGACCTATATATTCAGGCTCCTATATTTAGACCTATATATTCAGGCTCCTATATTTAGACCTATATATTCAGGCTCATATAATTAGACCTATATATTCAGGCCCATATATTTAGACCTATATATTCAGGCCCATATAATTAGACCTATATATTCAGGCCTATATATTTAGATCTATATATTCAGGCTCATATAATTAGACCTATATATTCAGGCCCATCTAATTAGACCTATATATTCAGGCTCATACATTTAGACCTATATATTCAGGCTCATATAATTAGACCTATATATTCAGGCTCATATAATTAGACCTATATATTCAGGCTCCTATATTTAGACCTATATATTCAGGCCCATATATTTAGACCTATATATTCAGGCTCCTATATTTAGACCTATATATTCAGGCTCCTATATTTAGACCTATATATTCAGGCTCATATAATTAGACCTATATATTCAGGCCCATATATTTAGACCTATATATTCAGGCTCCTATATTTAGACCTATATATTCAGGCTCCTATATTTAGACCTATATATTCAGGCTCATATAATTAGACCTATATATTCAGGCCCATATATTTAGACCTATATATTCAGGCCCATATAATTAGACCTATATATTCAGGCCCATATAATTAGACCTATATATTCAGGCTCATACATTTAGACCTATATATTCAGGCTCATATAATTAGACCTATATATTCAGGCTCATATAATTAGACCTATATATTCAGGCCCATATATTTAGACCTATATATTCAGGCTCCTATATTTAGACCTATATATTCAGGCCCATATATTTAGACCTATATATTCAGGCCCATATATTTAGACCTATATATTCAGGCTCATATATTTAGACCTATATATTCAGGCTCCTATATTTAGACCTATATATTCAGGCTCCTATATTTAGACCTATATATTCAGGCCCATACATTTAGACCTATATATTCAGGCTCCTATCATTAGACCTATATATTCAGGCCCATATATTTAGACCTATATATTCAGGCTCCTATATTTAGACCTATATATTCAGGCCCATATAATTAGACCTATATATTCAGGCTCATACATTTAGACCTATATATTCAGGCTCATATAATTAGACCTATATATTCAGGCTCATATAATTAGACCTATATATTCAGGCCCATATATTTAGACCTATATATTCAGGCCC